ATTGTCGATTAGTCCAGCTTGAAAGGCTTGGTAGACTAATTTTGCATCTGCTCCTTCGAGAAAGTTGAACATACTTTTTGTTTTCTTGTCCGTAGTGAAAAACTTTTCATGAACAAAGGTCTTCTGGGCATGCAACTCTTGCTTTCTTCCAGATTGTTCTGAAATCTTCAAAAAGAGATTTCAGGATAGTTAACCATTTGTTGAACGTCGATTGGAACGTCAAACCTTTGGTCTCTGTGGGCTTCTTTGACTTTTTGAATTTTTGGTCGAAGAAGTGGTTGGTTAGTCTTGCTTGTATCGTCTTGATAAGTGGCAAGGCTTAATCTTGCAAATGTTTCATTTCTGAATTTTTTGCAAGTAACTTTATCAACTTTACAGAAGGTTTCTGTAATTCCCCAGTCAGTATGAACACCGGCATGGGGTCCTTTATAGATTACATAAAATCTTTCAGCTTCTTTGTTAAGAGCTTTTTTGTAATCTGGTGTAAACTCCTGCACAGATTTGTTAGTGGGTGATAAAGTTGTCATTTTACTGATTCCTTCAGTACAAGGATTGGGATCAACCAATAAGCTAGTTTTTCCATTAGGAAGAGGAGTAGTTGTCTCCTTTATTATGTTTTTTAGCAAAGCATCAGCTTTCAACGGATTTGTTGATTCTTTACCAGGTGCCGTTTGCATTGGAATAGCCTTTGTTTTTTAGCTTTCGCTTTCCGGTACATTGGTGACCGTTGTTACTTGTTCATACAAGTTGATTTTCTGCTCAATTGCAGATAGCTCTATGAGGAGCATTTGTTTCTTCATCCTCAAAATGTTGAGGTCTTCCATTTTGTAAACTCAATTTTTGTTTACTTTTCTCTCTAATCTCCCCCTCTCTTTTTTGTAGGTGAAGTTTTTGTGAGGAAATATGTCATGAGGATCATATCCTTTTATAGGGCTCGAGAGGAGCGAGTGAGATCATGGATGATGTAAGGCATACCTGAAGTCACGAGTGAGGCAGTCTGCCAGTACGTTTTTGTTTCCTGCGAGATGTTCAACAGTGAATGTATATCGTGAGAACCACTCTTGCCATCGTATTAGCCGGCCTAATTTGTTATCTCCTGCAATCTTCGTTCGGAGGAAATAAGTAAAATTTTTATTATCTGTACGAACCAGGAAATTTACTGGTGTTAAATATACAGAGAATTTTGTAATAACTCTTTTTACAGCGAGTAATTCTTTTTCATTGCTATGGTAGTTTTTCTCAGCTGCTTTGAAACTGCCAGAGGTGTACCTGCAAATTTGTTCTTCGTTTTTGGGGTTTTTAGCTTTTAAAACACCTCCCCAAAATTCATCAGAAGCATCAGTTTCAATAATTAAACTGTCTTCAATGTTTGGAAGATAAAGTTTTGGAAAATTGATTAAAACTTTCTTTATCTTTTTTATGTAGTCTGTATCAGCACTTGACCAATTCCAAATGACATCTTTTTTTAATTTTGCCTGTAAAGGTTTTCTCATGGCTGCAAGTTTTTCAATATATGTTTCAGCATAAGTCAAAACACCAAGAAATCTTTGTAGTTGCTTTTTGTCTTCTAAAACATTTGGAAAGTCATGTAAATGTTCAAGAATATGCTTTTGAGGACAATGAGTACCCTCATTTATTTCTAAACCCAAAAAATTGATTTTTGTTTTGAAAAGATGAGCTTTCTTTTTTGAAAGTATTATTCCATATTTTAAAATAGTTCTGAGAACCTGTGTGACATGAACATAGTGTTCTTGTTCATTTTTGCTGAAGATCATGATGTCATCAACGTATACAGTGCAGAAACCTTCAAGGCCTCGAAGAGCGTTCTGCATGTGTCTTTGAAAAATACTAGGAGCTTGTTTAAGCCCAAAGGGTAGTACTTTCCATTGAAAGAGTCCATCAGGACATGTGAAGGCAGTGAGAAGCTGCGATTCTTCATCAAGTAGAACTTGCCAGAAACCTGACTTGCAGTCGAAACTTGAATAAATTTTTTCCTCGTAGAAGAGTCAAGAGTTCGTGCATATTGGGAAGATTATGCGAGTCTCCAATAGTTGCATCATTGATTGCTTTGTAGTTGACAACCATGCGCTTCTTTCCTCTTCTTTTCTCTGCTTCTTTATTGACAAGAAAGGCAGGAGACATATGAGGGGATTTTGATTCTATAATTAGTCTCATATCAAGTAATTCCTTGATTTGTTTGGAAAATTCTTCTCTATCTTGTAAAGAGTAAACCATAGGTTTTTCTCTAATAACCGTCTTGGGATTAATAAGCTTAATTGAAGCTTTCATCCATCCTTTGGTTTTTTATTTGGATCAATAGGATTTTCAGAACAAACTTTTTCAAGAAGATCCTCAATCTGCTTGAACCTGGTAGTTTGAATAGAAATAATCTTTTCTTTATTAATCCCTTCATGGGTTATATTAGTACCTGGAATTTGTTTTTCTTTAGAACCTTTTTCTTGAGTTTCAAGAAAACCTGGTTTTCCTTTGCTATAGGCCTCTGTAACCTTTTTTATAATTACCATATCATTATTAAGATGAAAGGCGATTCTATCTATCCATTGTATGAATGGTCCATAAACTTGACAGAAGTTGTTACCAATTATGATATCAATTCCTGAATTTTGTTGGTAAATAGTGGGAACGTTGAAATGTTCTCCTGAAGTTCGAGATTAATGTTTCTACAAACTTTATTAATTTTTATGGTTTCACCATTTGCAATAGTGGCACTAATTTCTTTGGGAGCGTTTTCCCAAAGTTCATCCGGAATGATGAATTTGCTTGCAAGACATAAAGATGCACCTGTGTCTACAAAACAATGTACTCTAAATTTTTTATATCCTTTAAAGTTAAGGAAGGCAGAAACATAAATAGAGTTTGGATTAGTAAGATTCATGATAAGGGAATCATCAATCTTCTGGAGGTTTGCGCAAAAATGGTTAATCTCCTCCTCCCTGAAAAGTGGGGTCTGTATGGGACTAGTCTGAGTCATCCGTTGTTGATTCGTATTCATCAGTGTCTGATGAAGATTCTGTCTCAACATGATATATAAAAACATGTGTACCATCATACTTCTTCAAGAGCTTCATAGCCCCCATTGTTAGCGGTTTGTAAAACCTTGACTTTGTCAGGGTATTTTTTTCTATTTGGACATTCATTGGCGTAGTGTCCTTCTTCATTGCAGATCCAACACCTACATTTTTTCTTTCCTTGCGGACAGGAAGTAGTCTTCTTAGGTGTTTCTTTTGAAGGTTTTTTGAAGTATTTTCCTGGTGAAAATTTTCTTCTTTTCTTTTTCCAAAAAGATTTGAATTTCTTTTTGTTTTTATACTTTTTCTTATTATAATTTTTCTTTCCAATATCAAAGTTTTTGAAATCAGAGAGAATGCTACAACAAT